GATGGCATTTTGAATGCACAGAGATACCATTGTTGTGCCATTCATCCACGACCATCACCTCATGTTGCAGCATAAACGCATTCTTATCCTTTGGCGTCATATAGGTGACGCCATATGACATTTCGTCGAAATCTTACGCACATGGCATCCTTTAGCGTCAATAGGCGCTTTCCGACCAAGTAGTTACAGGAACTTAGTTATAGGAACTGTCCACTTCTAAACAGTTCTAAGAACTACTCTCCCCCAAACTCGGTTTGCTGTTTGCGTTCGCACTGGCCAAGTGGCCATAGGAACTGGTAGGAGGGGTAAGGGAGTGACGCAAGCACGGCGGCGGCGGCGGCGCCACATACAACAACAACAAACCAGCATGGAGGAGGCTATCGGAATGTTCCTGTTCTGCCTTGCCGGGAGCTTAATAACGAGTACGAACGGCGGCGTTTAAAGACTATGCTTGAGTTCTGTACAGAGAAACAAAGAAGACGAAGGCTCCAGCGTAATATGATCTTAAGTAATATAATGGAAGAAGATAGAAGAGCAGAGCGCAGGAGACAAACAAAACGACGGGTAAGTTTAGCAAGCATAGCAATTAGCTGGTTGAATGCGTTATGTTATGAGTTAGCATAGCATACATAGGCGAATTGCAACAGACAGTGAATAAAATGTGTTGACACTGGGCGTGACTTATAAGTTGAACCAATCAACGTAGACCTAGGGAAAGGGAACTAAAAAAGTCCTCGCTCTAGACTAGGTACTGAAAGAGTTATAGGAACTACGGTCTGAGGAACTAAAAAATCCCCAACTTAGTCCGGTCGGAACACGCAAAAAAAAAGGTTATAGGAACTTTAGGTTCTAGGAACTGCAAAAGTCCCTCCGGTCGGAAAGCGGCTAATACAACACGCACTGTTATGGGTAGGTTTAGGTCTGGGGTAGGGTACGGTTATGACGCCTTGGGTTCTGCGTCTCATATTGATGCTAAAGGATGCCATGTGCGTAAGATTTCGACGAAATGTACAAAGCGTCACATGTATGACGCCAAAGGATGAGAACGGGCTGGATAATGCACGGCCACCTGTTGCAAGGATCTGTACACAATTCCTGGAAGCTGAAAACATCCCAGTTCTTGCATGGCCAGCATACTCCGGACATGTCACCCATTGAGCATGTTTGGGATGCTCTGGATCGGTGTATACGACAGCGTGTTCCAGGTCCTGCCAATATCCAGCAACTTCGCACAGCCATTGAAGAGGAGTGGACCAACATTCCACAGGCCACAATCAACAACCTGATCAACTCTATGCAAAGGAGATGTGTTGCACTGCGTGAGGCAAATGGTAGTCAAACCAGATACTGACTGGTTTTCGGACCCCAGCATATTAGAATGATTTCTGAAGGATCATGTGAGACTGGAGACTGGAGTAATGATGTTGAAAATTCAGGAAAATTCAATTGCTGCTTATACACTTTTTTTTTTTTAGAATGAGAATCAGGATTTTTAATGGCGTATATAATCTGCAAAGATAAGAAATGTTAGCCCTTTAAGAAAATGAAACTTCATTGAACTTCATTGGTTCATTAGTCACTTGTAGCAAGCTAGGGTAGGCCAGCAGGGTAACTAACTTTGACTTGTGAAGATGGCAGGTAGGTGTTTAGCACTTGTTGTAAACTGTGCTGACATCAAGCCACACCTCTGGATAGTTTATGACTTTGTTCTTCACGTCTTTTGGCCAATGACAGTATTGTTTACACAGTGTGTCTTCTGAGCTACTTACAAGAGTTAACATGATCTCAGAGGCTTAAACCGAAGGGAAAATGAGAGTGTGCATGAAGGACAAAAGTTTACAACAGGGAAAACTGAGGACAAACAACTAGCACACTCTTGATTAATCTGTTTCAGTAACTACCAGTGTTTTTACTGTGTATGCTGTACTGTATATCGTGTAGATGAACAGGATGGTGCATAATATGTACTGTACATTTATCCCATCCCAGAGATCCAGCTTCAAACCAAAGCATTTTCTTACCAGCAAGTTGGATTTATCAGCTCTAAGCTCTGAGTTTATGAGATCACGGAAACGCATCTGCATCACCCTATTTATAGAAGCACATCAGCTGAGCTACAGCGCCACAGTGAGGGACAGTAAATTGCTCCAATGACATTTCAATGCAAAGCGATTTTTATCATTCTTACCTGAACACACGCACGGCATATTCTCTGTGAAGAAGTACAGTGGCAGGCTTACAGCTTCAGCCAGAGAAACAGAGTAAAGATGACTGTCTCACAAAAACATATCCAAGTCACATTTGACAGCAAAATTTGGCATGGAGGAAAAAAAAAGCCCACTTTTAAGATTAATTTAGTGATTAATAAAAAAAACCGTTTTTTTTTTTTCAAATCGATTGATCGCGACTAATCACATCTAACATAAAAGTGTGTATAATATATGTGTATATATATACATTTTATTGTTCAAAGTATTTGATCACCTACCAACCAGTAAGAATTACGGCTCTCACAGACCTGTTAGGTTCTCTTTAAGAAGCCCTCCTGTTCTCCACTCATTACCTGCATTAACTGCACCTGTTTGAACCCGTTACCTGTATAAAAGACACCTGTCCACACACTCAATCAAACAGACTCCAACCTTTCCACAATGGCCAAGACCAGAGAGCTGTGTAAGGACATCAGACAAGTGAGAAGGCAACAACAGTTGGCGCAATCATTAGAAAATGGAAGAAGTTCAAGATGACGGTCAATCTCCCTCGGTCTGGGGCTCCATGCAAGATCTCACCTCGTGGGGCATCAATGATCATGAGGAAGGTGAGGGATCAGCCCAGAACTACACGGCAGGACCTGGTCAATGACCTGAAGAGAGCTGGGACCACAGTCTCAAAGAAAACCATTAGTAACACACTACGCCGTCATGGATTAAAATCCTGCAGTGCACGCAAGGTCCCCCTGCTCAAGCCAGCACATGTCCAGGCCCGTCTGAAGTTTGCCAATGACCATGATCCAGAGGAGAAATGGGAGAAGGTCATGTGGTCTGATGAGACAAAAATAGAGCTTTTTGGTCTAAACTTCACTCGCCGTGTTTGGAGGAAGAAGGATGAGTACAACCCCAAGAACACCATTCCAACCGTGAAGCATGGAGGTGGAAACATCATTCTTTGGGGATGCTTTTCTGCAAAGGGGACAGGACGACTGCACCGTATTGAGGGGAGGGTGGAGCCAAGTATCGCGAGATCTTTGCCATGAAGTTCAGGTCGCTGCACCCACTCCTTCAGGAGATTTATGTGAAGTGTCCTGCTTGACCGCGGCCGCCCTGGGGTTGCCACCTGGTATGTGGTGGGCCCAAGTTTCTTTAATACCGCAAACGGCCCCTGCCACTTTGCCAGGAGTTTGTTGTCATCACTGGGGAGAAGCACTAGCACCTTCTGTCCCGGGTTGAAAGATCTTTGCCGGGCTGACCGGTCATACCAGGACTTCTGCTGTTGCTGGGCCTCCACCATATGTGATTGGGCGAGTTCGCTCATCCTTTCCAGCCGCTCTCTCATCTGAACAACGTGGGATATTATATTAATTGATTCCTCTTTCCCTTTGCCTCCCTCCCAAATCTCTCTCAGCAGCGAGAGAGGACCTCGTACTTCATGCCCGTACAAAAGTTCAAAGGGAGAAAAACCAGTGGAGGCTTGGGGTACTTCCCTGTAGGCAAAGAGAAGATAAGGCAGCCACTGATCCCAATCTGTACCACTGTCGTTGACAAATTTCCGGAGCATCTGCTTCAGGGTCTGGTTAAAGCGTTCTGTCAGTCCATCTGTTTGAGGGTGATACGGCGTGGTTCTCAAGCTCCTTATACCGAGTAACTGGTACACCTGTTTTAGCAGTGTAGACATAAAGTTAGTTCCCTGATCAGTTAGTATTTCATAAGGGAGACCCATTCTGGAAAAGAACTGCACCAAACAGAAAGCCACTGATTTTGCTTTTATAGACTTAAGTGGAAAAACTTCAGGGTATTTTGTAGCATAGTCTGTTATGACCAGCATGTACCGGTTCCCTAATTTACTCCTCTCAACAGGACCCACAATATCCATTCCCAAGCGCTCAAATGGGGTGCCAATGATGGGTAAGGGTCGAAGGGGAGCTTTGGAGGGAGTTTTAGCTGATGTTATTTGGCACTGAGGGCAGCTTCTACAGAATTCAGCTACCTCTCTGCTTAAGCCAGGCCAGTGAAAATGACGTTTGATGCGTGCTGTAGTTTTGTGCTTACCCAGGTGGCCAGCCCAGGGAACAGAGTGCCCCATGGTGAGTATGGTCTGTCTAGTCGCTTGGGGAGCCACTAACTGCAACACTGACCCTTGTTGACGGTAGAGCATGCCATTTTGCAGAATATACTCATCTCTGTTGGAGTCTTGCCCAGCTCCTGGCTCCTTTCCCTCTACTTTCTGAAAGAGAGACACTAAAGATGGATCAGCTTTCTGCATTTCGATAAGGTTCTCTGGTATTTGAAACCCTAAGGGTAACTCTGGTTCAGGATGGGTTGGTGGTTTCACCACTGTATGTTGGAACTTCTCCTGCCGTCTCTGTCTGCGAGTTTTCCGAGACTTCCCGGGTGCTGGCTCCAACTCCTCATTGTAGAAAGGCAGGGTACATAGAGTCTCAGAGTAGTCATTGGATTTCGTTGCCTGTGCTCTGGTAACAACTGCATTACATTTTCGCCGTTGGTCTGACTCTAACAAATCAAACAGCACTGGAATGTCTCTCCCTAGCACAGCAGGAAAAGGTAAGCCATCGACAACCCCAATATTCAACAGGTAGGTTTGCCCATCTACTTTTATGTACATGTCAGCTGTTGAATAGCTCTTTTCATCCCCATGTACACAACAGATAGGTATGGTGTCTTCCGTGCTAATTATATAGGGAGGTACAAACTTCCGGTGCACACGTGTCTGATCACTTCCGGAATCAAGCAGAGCCTTGAGCATTTTCCCATTAACTTCAATGTTTTTCATTTTAATAGACTGGACCTTCTTGAGCTCAGGTTCCTCCTGAGTTCGTGGTACAAAGCACATCTGAGTCATGTTAACTGAGTTTTTAGGGCACATAGGTTTCGTATGGCCTTCTACTCCACAAAGATAACAGATTGGCTTCCTCCCTAAGGATTTTACTGGTCTGTTAGCTGGTTGGCTTTCCATCATGGGGAATTTACCCACCCCGGTGCCTGGATCGTGTGTTGGTTTGCGATTATCCTTCGCAGTTCTCCATGAGTTATAACTCCATGGTTGTCCCTTCTTTCGGGCAGCCACAAAAACCTCAGCCAGTCTAGCAGCCTCCATGGCTGAATTTGGGTCGTGCTCTCGGACCCAGACCTGCAGCTCAGGAGACAACATTCTCAGATACTGCTCTAGTATCATCACTTCGCCAATTTCCTGGATGGTTTTACCCTTAGGCTGGACCCACTTTCCATAAAGCTCCTTGAGCCTTGCATACAACTCCTTGGGGCTCTCATCAGAGTTCACCTCTGTGGAGCGGAATCTTTGCCTGTAGGCCTCAGGGTTAATGTCATATTTAGCAAGAATGGCTGATTTTACCTGATCATAGTCAAGGGAGTCATCACTGTCCATATGAACATATGCACTTCTAGCTTTGCCAGTTAGTAATGGAATTAACTGAAAAATCCAATCAGCTTTCTGCCACCTGCATGCTACAGCAATGCGTTCAAATGTAATGAGGAAATGTTCAATGTCATCATTATCAGTTAATTTTTCCAACCTGGGCTTATGTTGTGAGCAAGACTGACCTACCGAGGCCCCTGTTTGAGTGGTCATCATGGGCTCAGCTTGGTCTGGCAGAGGGTGCATAGTGGATGATTGAACCTCCCTATCTGGAGGATCAGAGTCGTCCGAAAGTGGATTTGGCACCACAGATGTACGGGCCTGAACTTCTAACTGCAAAAGCTGAAACTGGTGTTGAAGAGCTTTAAAACGTTGTTCTTGTCTCACAGTTGCCTCATTCTGCTTTGCCTCTCGAGCCTCCTGCTGCCCCATGTGCGCCTGAAAAATGGCCATCAAGTCAGAGAGAGTTGGCTCCTTACCCTCTGTGTCCTCAGCCCCTCCTGAGGCTCCACCTTCTTCCTCTTCACTGGCTTGCTTCTCCAGGGCCACTGTAGACACACCAAGTCTTTTTCCACCTTTTCCCTTTATCATCTTTCTTCAGTGTTGGAGGGATCACCAACCAAAGAATAAAAAAAACTGGAAAAGGGAAGAGCAGAAAAAAAAAAAAAATCCTGTTTCCTCAACGGGATAATCCAACCGCTGCCACCAATTGTCACGGACCAAACAGTCCGGCAATGAGGAAAACAGGAGTTTTTGTTGAAAAAGAGGGTTTTGTTTTATTTACCCAAAAAATATTAAACAATAGAAACCAAAAAGTTAGCAACCAGGCCTATAAAAGAGGTCAACAAAATATAAGTATACTCAAAACAGCATACAACAAAACAAGATATGAACTAAACAAACTGACCTCCCTAAATGAGACACAAGGGAACATATATAGTGGCTTGGCCAAACCAATTTACACATAAGGGGAAACAAAATGGACGACAAATACCACAAGTACAAAGTAACACAAACTAAACCCAAAACCCCCCTCCGACATGCCAGCACATGGTATGTCTTAATTGGCAGGCCACAGGATATCACAGTCCTCCACCCTTGGCCACGCCTTTCTTCCCCCAGGACAGATCTCTCTCCAACATGGTAACAAAGAAACAATAATTAATAGAACAGAAAATGTTTACATAACCCTACAATGTGAAAATGTGTGCACTCCATTTAAACAGTGTATGGCTAAAGCAAATAAATGTATATTATAATTGAAATAAACTATATGATCTGTGTTTTGAAATCATGAATTGTTTGGGGTGTGGCTAACTGCAAAAAATAACTTAACCTGCATGCTTAACCCATGTGTGCTGGTATTACCATTGCTGGCCGTTACCCGGCCTTGCCTGTGTGGCCTTGGGCCATCACAAGTGCCATGTTGAACATCCAGTGGTCAGTATGAGAGAAATGTACTCAAAGCACAAATTTTAACTGCTCTAATACAAGATACACACATTTGTATGGTCCTGTCAAGCAGACAATATATATATATATATATAACCCTTCAAAATTACAAAAATACATTTTTTGGTGTATTCAACTCAAATTAATTTAGCTTATAGTCTGAATGGTCGGATAGGATTTCATGACGCAAGAATAATAATATTTTATTTTTTCAAAGTTCAAGGTAATTTAAAAGAAAATCAGTCAATTAGACAATGCTGTGGAAATTGCAGTAACTAGCAAGAGACAACTTCTCACTTTGAGCACACAAATACGTGTGTCGTTTATTTCGTATGACAAAACTAACAGCAAACCAATGGCGCTGACAAGCGTCCTACGTCATCACCCATACAGAACATTTAAAGGGACCACGATCCCTGAACAGTTATGAGGAAAAAAACGCTAAGAACAAAGTACTGCATTTATCACCAACAATGTATAGAACTACATTTAACCCAAAGGTGAATTATGTATGTCACAGTCACTACACACGTCCCCCCAGAATTCACTGTATCCGAAGAACCAAACTGTCAACGGGGAGGTGGGCGTATCAACCGACCACAACGGCTGCGCTGTACTGGAGGTTGAGGAAACCTCACTGCAGCCGGTGTCCCGCCAAGACCCGGGTGTGGGGCATGGAGTGTAGGAGGTTTAGGAGCAAGGGGTGGAGGCAGAGCAGGAGGCCGTCCGCGGCGTGGGGGCTGGGCCAGGTTGATGGGCCTGGCTACGTCCAAATGAGCCGGTTTGAGGCGGTCGATAGAAAGTCGCTCCGGTTTGCCGCCTCTGTCCACCACAAAATGTTTGTCCCCCGTCTCCAGGACCCGGAATGGGCCCTCATAGGGCGGACGTAGCGGTCCCCTGTGAGCATCGTGGCGAATGAAAACGTAGTCAGCCGTCTGAAGTCCAGCGGGGATGTGCGACTGAGGGAGGCCGTGACGTGAAGTAGGGACAGGTGCGAAAAGCCTTGCATTGTCCAGTAGAGTAGACCGCTGGAAAGTAGCAGACCAGGGAACCGTGGCACTAGGGACAAACTCCCCCGGTACCCGCAGTGGCTGTCCATAAACAAGCTCCGCGGATGAGGACTGAAGGTCCTCCTTTGGCGCAGTCCTGATGCCCAGCAACACCCATGGGAGCTTGTCGACCCAGTTGCTGTCTTTGAGGCTGGCACGCAGGGCAGCCTTCATTGACCTATGAAAACGTTCACAGAGTCCGTTAGCCTGCGGGTGATATGCGGTCGTGCGGTGGAGTTTCACTCCGAGGCTCTGTGCGACAGCGTCCCACAGCTCAGACGTGAACTGCGCGCCTCGGTCAGAGGAAATGTCCGAAGGAGTGCCGAAACGGGCAACCCAGGTGCTAATAAATGCCCGTGTCATCTCGACAGATGCCATTGACGTCAAAGGCACAACCTCGGGCCAGCGGGTGGTCCTGTCAACCATGGTGAACAGATATGTGAAACCGTGAGAGGAGGGCAGAGGACCGACCAGGTCCACGTTTACATGGTCAAAACGTCTCTCCGGAACCGGGAACAAACCTAACGGGGCTTTAGTGTGGCGGTGGACTTTGGCCCGTTGGCACTCAACACAGATGTTAGCCCAATCCCTAACGTCCTTCTTGAGGCCGTGCCAAACAAACTTAGCTGCAACCAGTCTCTGTGACGCTTTCGAACCTGGGTGGGAGAGACCATGGATGGCGTCAAAAACTTGTCGTCTCCATCCCGAGGGAACGACTGGCCGAGGACTACCTGTGGAGATGTCACACAGGAGCGTGGTGCCGGCATCACCAAAAACTACATCCTCGATCTGCAGACCTGTAGTCGAGGTCCTCAGGAGTTGCACGTCCGGGTCTGTGGCCTGAGCGGCCGCCATGCGGTTGTAATCTAAGCCCAGGTGGACTGCCCCCACCACAGCCCGTGATAAGCAGTCAGCCACGTGGTTGGTCTTACCAGCAACGTGCTGCAAGTCCGTGGTGAACTCTGAAATGTAGGACAGATGACGTTGCTGGCGGGCGGACCACGGTTCAGCCACCTTGGCCATGGCAAAAGTCAACGGCTTGTGATCCACAAACGCAGTGAAGTGTCGGCCTTCCAGCCGGGAACGGAAATGTCGGATGGCGAGGTAGAGACCCAGCAGCTCCCGGTCGAAAGTGCTGTACTTCCGCTCACAGGGGCGCAGCTGACGGCTAAAGAAAGCCAGCGGCTGCCAGGCACCGCCTACCCACTGCTCGTAGACAGCACCGACAGCATAGTCTGAGGCATCCGAGGTGATGGCGATGGGGGCTGTTGGAGAAGGATGTGCCAACATGGTGGCGTTCGCTAGGGCTGCCTTAGTGGCGGCAAAAGCCCTGTCTCTACTCTCAGTCCAGTCCACAACGTGCTGTGGTTTACCTTTCAAGGCCTCGTGCAAAGGCCGCATGAGCAGAGCAGCTCGAGGAATGAAGCGGTGGTAAAAATTCACCATGCCGAGGAACTCCTGCAGGGATTTGACAGTGAGCGGGCGTGGGAACTGTGTGACTGCCTCCACCTTTGATGGGAGAGGGACCGCCCCGTCCTTAGTGACTCTGTGTCCAAGGAAGTCAATGGTGGAGAGGCCGAACTGGCACTTGGCGGGGTTGACAATCAATCCATGTTGGCTAAGCCGCTCAAAAAGGGTTTGGAGGTGCGCCAGGTGCTGAGACTTGGACGTGCTCGCTACTAGAATGTCATCCAAGTACACAAAAAGAAAAGGCAGGTCCCGCAAAACAGAGTCCATGAGGCGTTGAAAAGTTTGGGCGGCGTTTTTAAGGCCGAACGGCATACGCAGGAACTCAAACAGACCAAACGGCGTGATCACTGCCGTTTTGGGGATGTCCAGTGGATGTACCGGCACCTGATGATATCCACGAACGAGGTCGACCTTGGAAAAAATCACCTTGCCAGACAGGTGTGCTGAAAAATCCTGTATGTTCGGGACTGGGTATCGGTCAGGCGCCGTTGCCTCATTAAGCCGCCGGTAGTCGCCACACGGGCGCCAGCCGCCACCAGGTTTGGGGACGATGTGGAGGGGCGATGCCCATGGGCTGTCGGATCGGCGAACTATTCCCAGGCGTTCCATGTTCGCAAACTCAGCCTTTGCAACGGCAAGCTTGGTTGGGTCGAGGCGCCGAGCGCGGGCGTAGACGGGTGGACCAGTGGTGGCGAGATGGTGCTCCACACCATGCTTCACGGCTGATGCAGAGAAAGTGGGCTGAGTGAGGGCTGGGAAACTGGCAAGCAGACGGTGGAAATCATCAGAAGCTGAAAGCATGCTAGACAGCCGTATGGAGTCAGTCCCGCTGAGCGTGCATGTATAAGAGCAAAACGTGACAGCGTCAATCAGACGGCGATTCTTTACATCCACCAACAGTCCATGTGCACACAAAAAATCAGCGCCGAGGAGGGGAACGGCAACCTTTGCGGTAACAAAGTTCCAGCCGAAGTGCTGTCCTCCTAAACACAGTTCGATGTACCTCGTTCCATATGTGCGGATGGGGCTACCATTTGCAGCTTCCATAGGAGGGCCGTGGCTGTCGGTCACCATGTCCAAACGGGATGCAGGCAGGACGCTCCTCTGTGCTCCTGTGTCGCACAGAAAACGCCGTCCAGAGATGCTGTCGTGGATGAAAAGCAGCCTGCCTACGCGGCCGACGCTCATGGCCACTACTGAGCGCCGGCCCCGGCGTTTCCCGACCCGCCGAAACTGCATGGTGAGCGACATTTGTTAGCCTTGGTTCCAAACTTAGCATGGTAGAAACATAAGCCTGGAAGTTGTTGGGGGCCAGAAGACAACTGCCGCCGAGAAGTGGTTGCCGCGACGAAGGTGGAGTCGTCACGTGTCACCGAAGCGATGTGCGCGGGAAAAAGCGCGTCCGCACAATGTCCGTGACTCGCCAGGAAAAATTTATCAGCTTCCTCAGCCAGTCTCCGACAGTCAGTGATTGTGGTGTTGGCTAATGCAGCTCTCACTTGTGAAGGCAGCTGACGCAGGAAAAGCTGGATGAACAGAAAATCGGGTCTGTGCTCTCCCAAAAGATCCAGCATGCGGTCCATGAGCTCGGACGGTTTGCTGTCACCCAGTCCTTGAAGGGAGAAAAGCCTGCCGGCTCTCTCAGCGTCCGACAGTCCGAACGTTTTCAACAGGTGGGCTTTGAGTGCTGCATATTTCTCGTTTTCCGGAGGATTTGTTAGAAGGCTCACCACTCTGGATGCCGTTGAATTACCGAGAGCCGACACTACGTAGTAGTATTTTGTTGTATCCGCGGTGATCTCAGTCTGTGCGAGTCTGTGCGAACCATGCAGATGCCGACGATTCCCAGAATTCGGGGAGTTTGAGGGTGACAGCGTTCGCGGTCATGGTCGTGTCGTGTCTCTGGATACGTCCAGCAGACTAATGTCGGGGTCACCAGTGTGGAAATTGCAGTAACTAGCAAGAGACAACTTCTCACTTTGAGCACACAAATACGTGTGTCGTTTATTTCGTATGACAAAACTAACAGCAAACCAATGGCGCTGACAAGCGTCCTACGTCATCACCCATACAGAACATTTAAAGGGACCACGATCCCTGAACAGTTATGAGGAAAAAAACGCTAAGAACAAAGTACTGCATTTATCACCAACAATGTATAGAACTACATTTAACCCAAAGGTGAATTATGTATGTCACAGTCACTACAATGCAACCATTATGTAACATCATAAAAAATATATGCATATACGTGCACATTTTACATTCTACGTGATGTTCTCTAAGTAATGAATAGTGTATGAATCAGTCAGTGGTTTTGGACACAGTATATACATGCGCAAAATACCTTCAACGCTGACAGAAATAAGGCTAAATTTCTACACTGTCATCACATGCAAAAT